GAAAGGTGTGTATATACGTATTTATTTTTTAATTGAATGGTCAGTTAAACTTATATAATTTGTCTTGTGGTTTTTTGTAGGATTTTTGATGATCAGGTATTCAATACGTACGGTGATGTGAATGATGATCAATTAAGCCAGATTAAAGAGAACGGATTCGCAACCTGGTTAAAAGAATTTGTACGTAAATCGAATAAGTAAATTAAATAATATCGCATAGGGAAGAACACTAACCACATGCCAAATTGTTGGTTGATTTTTTTTTACAGATTGAATCATCGCAAGAAGATCATCCATTGTGGTTACACGAGTTAGTTCAAGGTCCCATTCGGCTGGTCAAATGTTGGCCAATGTTCTCTACAAGAGGATATTTATTTCATACATATGAACATGGGCAACATCGTTCGACGGCAAATTATGGTATATGTGTGAAAGGCTCGAGTTATTGTGCTTCGGATGATGAACCAGATTTCCATGGCATTCTTCAGCAAATTTTCCAAGTACAATATCCGGGTCATATTGGACTCAAAGTGATGATTTTCAGATGTGACTGGTTTGATCCGACGCCGGGACGCGGAATACGGATCAACAAATCAGGGATCACTGATATTTGTTACTCCCGTCGATATAGAAAATACGACCCTTTTATACTGGCATCCCAAGCAGATCAGGTATGTTTTATCCCTTATCCAAGAGATAAAACACGAAGAAGTGACATTGATTGGAAGGCCGTTATCAAGATTAATCCAAGAGGGACCATTACATATGACGGATCAGTGGAACAAAGCCCGCTACAGGAAGAACACACAGTTATAGTTGTCGCGGAAACAATTGATGTGGAGAGTCTAGTAGTGGAACAAGGGATAGTTGAAGAACTAGAAATTGGAAACCTCGATGAAGAAGGCGGTAGCAGTGAAGACACCAATCCCGAAACAACGGAAACATCATCGTATGGTTCATTTGATTAATTATTCAATGTGTGTATTTTTATTTTAATTTTTTTTTATTATTTTTCTATTTTGCGACGGATATTATCCGTCGATATCCGTCGGTATTTTTCCGCCTCTGAAATTTTCGCAAATTTTTTGAAAATTTTAAAATCCGTGTGCGATGGATATATTCCGTCGTTACATAAGATACTCCGTCGCTAATGGCCTTGTGTTCAAACATTAGCGACGGTTTCCAACGGTTAAGTTCCGTCGCAATGTGTAATACATATCGGGATTCCTCTTCTTTCTTCTCCGCCTCGACGCGAAAACGGTGACTTCTCTCCCT